AATAACTCTACAGTTACATGGAAATTTCACTGATTGTTTATTTTATCAATTCTTATAGTTGAACCAAAAAGTGTAAAAATTTAATACAAGGCTCCTGATATATTGTTACAATAGCAGTTGAAAAATATTAAAAATATATAGGTCCCATTTTTTTTTATAAGCATTTAAAGATCAAATTTAAAATTGAATAATTATTTTGTTGTTAAAAACTTATAAAATGTTCAACTTTTATATCTAAGGATTGAAAATGTACAACAAGATTCCACGTAAGTAGTTAATTCTGTTACCAAAAAATCTAAAAAATACATAAGCACAGTTTATTTTTATAGTAATTTTAAGTTCAAATTTGGACGAAAATACATATTAAAAAACCTAGAATAACTATTTTAGTTATTTTGTTCTGATTGTATAATATTATTCGTAGCCATAAAATGAGATGAATTCTATGACCTTACTAATTATTAATTAATTATAATTTATAAAGCACAAATTAAAGGACTCTAAGTCCAGGTGTCTCCAACACGGTTATCATCTATTATACACCATAGCCCATAGGCGTGTCTACGGTGGTAGCCTATATAGGCAGTGTTGTAAAAAATACTTTTTAAAAGTATTTAAGTAATTACTCAAATACTCTTAAAATAAAGTATTTAAAATACCACCCAAATACTATAAATAGTAAAGTATTTGAGTAATACTCACATACTTTTCAGAAGTATTTAAAATAATCTTCAAATACAAAAAAAAAATTCTTTTTACTTTTTAGTTCTGAAATAATTTGTTATAATCAAAAATGTGTTTATTGCATTTTAAAAACATGATTCGTTCAATAATCAAAATTCTGATTATTCATGTTAGTTGCACTACAACAATGAACTTTTCTCAACAGAGTTATTATATTAATTTAAAGCTATATTATGTATTTGGATATCTCATACCGTCATCGATAAACAATAATGATAATAATTGATAAAAATTTTCTTGATAAATAGGTAGCCACTAGCCAGTAGGTACTAATAATTATTTTACATATTACATATTTATAATATGCTTTTTACATATTATATATTTTGTTAACTTTAGCTAATAGTGATACCGACTACAGATGTATCTTTTCGATCATCGTCGACAATAAGCTGTCTCCTAGAGAATAAAAAAAATTAAATAAAAGTATTCAATAAAATAGTATTAAATAGTAAAAAAAAGTATTTAAAATACCATTCAAATACTTCAAAATAAAAAGTATTTAAAAAAGTATTCAATACCAAAAAAAGTATTTGAATACTTTTACTCAATTACTTTTACTCAAATACTATTATACAACACTGCCTATAGGGTGCCTGGGCTGCCGCTTCAACTTTTGAAAGGTGCCGGTCAACCAAGTTTTAAATCAGAAGGGTCACAACATTTTTTTAGATTCTGAGTGAAACGATGAATGTATTGATTTTACAATGATGTGTGTTTTTTTATTTTTTTATTTTTTATTTTTTTATTTTTTTTGTATCTGTGTACACGATAAGTAGTCGAAATAATGCTTCGATTTTCGACTTTAGTATCTTGTTCGATTGGAAAAAGAATATCGTTGGTGCATTGGGGAGGTCAAAATTTAAATTTCCCAGTAGTTTTCACAAGCGCCGGGAAAAACAACATAAAAATTAAGGAAAAACGGGAATTTTTACGCAAAATTGATTTTCCAAAAAATCGATTTTGGTTATTGGTGTAACTCTAAAACAAATGAACGTATATACATTAAATTTTCACTGGTTGTTTATATTTGCATTTTCTATACACGATAAAATTTTCAAAATATTTTGATTTATTTTGAACTGTTTAGGGACATTTTCATTTTCCATTTTTTTTTTAGTTTTTTTTCTAAAAATTTCAATAAAATTTTATTTGTTGGTTGCGAAAGCTTGAAAATTTAATAGAAGGCTCCTAATATGTTGTTTCAAAGGCAGATGAAAAATATTAAAAATCCTTAGTCACAATTTTTTTTTATAAGCATTTAAAGTTCAAAAATTGACAAAATATGGAAAAATCACGAAAATTAGCAAATTATTTTGAGTTAAGAATTCGAAAAAATTTTTCTTTTTAAATCTAAGATTTGAAAATCTAATACAAGATTACTCATAAGATTGTCTACCTTTATCAATAAAAAAATTTCTACCGGAAAGTCAAATTAAATTTTTATGAGCGTTTGAAATTCAAATTTTTACAACATTGGATATTCACTCGATTTCTCATGTGGCAATTTCCTTTTTTTGTTGTAATTAAAAAACGAATTACTCTAGATACATGAAAATTTCACTGAATGTTTATATTAGCATTTCCTATACACCCTACAATTTTGAAAATATTTTGACACTTTTTGAGCCGTTTACGGACATTTTCAGTTTTCAATTTTTTTAGTTTTTTTTTTCCATAAATATCAATAAAGTTTTATCTGTTGGGCCAAAAAGTGTAAAAATTTAATACAAGGCTCCTGATATATTGTTACAATATCAGTTGAAAAATATTAAAATACATAGGCACAATTTTTTTTTATAAGCATTTTAACATCGAATTTTGATAGAATTTTTCAAAATCTCGAAAATTATTAATCATCGTAATTAATAAATTATAAAATGTTCAGTTTTTATAGCTAAGGATTGAAAATTTAAAACAAGATTCCACGTAAGTAGTTAATTCTCTTACCGAAAAATCTAAAAAATATACAATCACAGTTTACTTTTATAGTCATTTTATGTTCAAATTTGGACGAAATTACATATTAAAAAACCTAGTTATTTTGTTGTGATTATATAATATTATTCGTGGGTACCTACTTGAAACTTCTAAAGTGTACTATTATATATATATGATAGTATCAGGGTTTGTTGTTGGTGTATAACGTGTTATAAGTACCTAATGGATATTGTGATATGATTAATTTGGAATTTATTTTAGGTCAATTTTTTTTTTAATACCATAGATATGTATATAATTTGTCTTAAACTTAGACTGATATACCGTCTTCGCTCAGAGTCGTTTTTCTTATACAATGATATTGAATCATTGAATTCAAATTTAATAGCATCCATTATACAGTGACCCACTTGTAACCTACTGTACAGCAGAGCGACATCCACTTACCCACCTTTTTTTTTTAAATTTGATTTTTTTGTGTGTATCGTTATAATTACCAGGATATGGACTTACAATAGGATATGTCCAACAAAATTAGGTAGATGATATCTTTATTTAACATGTATTGTCAAATTGATATCCTGACTTTGGAAATCGGAAAAACCTACTATAAAGACTTGAGACGGTACGTTTCGCATATAGGTATTATTGATATTATTGTCGTATTATGTTTGATTTGTAGCTAGATAGTGTAATCCAAGGCTGTAAATGAATAGGGATCAAAATTTCCGAAAAAAAAACCCGGGGTTTTTACGGTTTTTTTCGGAAAAATTTGGTTTCATTTAAAATTTCCGGATAAATAATAATAAATAATTTAAAATAATATAAAAATATATTATCGTATCCCGCATTTCCGCCAATGATATTTTGTTGTTAAGTATTTTTCTAATAACTATTAATTAATATTGTCATTACTTATTTGTCAATCGTGCGCTGTCTATATATTTTTTACAACTTACAAGTAATATTAATTATACAAAATTTAAAAATACAGGTGATTTATTTTCGGAGAAATACACCCTCCCACATAACGGTAACTATGTTATTTTTAGAACAAATATTGAAATAGCCATATTATATTTTTAATACCTAGTTTAATTTAAAACTTTAATACAATAATACATTGATATAACCGTATTGGCAAATGTGAAATGACAATGACAGGTTTAATTATATACAATGGTATATTTTTTACAATGGTTTTTTTTTTACATAGGTTATTTTAATTTTTAAGCTTAAATTCAATTTTTTAATTTTCCAAAAATTAGGTTTTTTTCCGAAATTTTCCGGCATTTTGATTTCTATAGATGAATAATATTTTTGAAGTTACTATAGATTATTATTGTAAATAGATAATTTAGACTTTTTTTTTAAAAATAATATAAATATTTCATTGTGGAGAGGGGGCTTAAAAAAATACGGTTTTGGGTGTATAGGGCTTTTTTCGGTTCACTAATAAGGTAGCGCCGATCATTAGCTAGGCTGCCCCTGCCGATTAAGTCTAGTCAAGCCTATGCTATACGCCTATACACGGTGTATAACCCTTAAATACACCCTCTAAGAGTAATGGACTGGAATCATATCGCGCCAAGTATAATCATAGTGTAGAATGTGAATTGTGTACCTATAGGCAAGGGCGTAGCTCGAAATTTCATCAGGTTTAAGTAACCGAGTTTATTTTTAAATTTTTACCCCAATTTAAATTTTCGTTAAATATCATAGTGTATATGTTTGCAATTCCTCCCCCTCTTCTCTTGGCTACGCCTTCATGTATAGTTGTATAGCAGTGGTTGTTGTTGATCACCTGCAGTTTTCAAAAAGGATGGCTTTTTATTTGCCCCCTTTTCAAAAGGGTTAAGAGGAAAAAAATATAAAATTTACGGGCCTGTCCGGGATTTGAACCCGGGACCTCTCGCACCCGAAGCGAGAATCATACCCCTAGACCAACAGGCCATGCTGTGACACCTCTGTAAATTGTAGTAATTTAATGTGAACTTGCCTGACACATAATATGGAAGATAAAAAAAGTTAGACGACGTTGATAAATAAAAGCGTGGTATCGACACCGTTGATACTAGATAGTGAAGTGTTTGATACGTCTGAAGCTGAAAAGTGAAAATTGAAATCTATTGTCTGGTATTCATATTCTGCAATAATTTCTGCTCCTTGGATCATGGGACTTCGAAATTTGTACATGCCTAGTCGCCGTTTATAATTGTAATAGTACTTATTTAGTAGTAGAAAGTATTAAGTACTAAAGTACTGTTAACTGTTCAACAATAACGCATCAATCCTATCTACAGTCTAAGAATACAATGTTGTATAAAATATTTCATCAAAACATTTTCGAAGTCATAGACGTGAGATCGGCTATGCTCATGACAGCGTCGGTTCTCGTCGTTGGATACGTCTGGACGTGTTTGCGGGCCTCACGCAGGCAGAAGATGCTCGAGCTGGAGAACACACCTCACAGGGTGCTATTGATCACCGCACATCCCGACGATGAATGTATGTTTTTTGGCCCGGTCATACAGAAGCTGTCAAAAATGAAAGACGTACACCTTTTCTTGATGTGTCTGTCTATTGGTAATAACTAATAAGGCAGTGGCGGCGGTAACGCCTTATGGCAGTTCTCAATAGATTGTCAATAATACATTTCAGGTGACTTTGAAGGTAAGGGCTCACTGCGCAAAGCTGAACTGTACGATAGCTGCAAGATATTGGGCATTGAAGAGGGCAATATACTGTTGTGCAAGTAAATTATTACTGGTATAATGTACCACGCTCTGGTATTGTTGTTATTGAAGTGATTTATTTCAGAAACACATTGCTTCCGGACAACCCACGTGTGGACTGGGACACAATTTTACTGTCCGATAAGATTGCTGAGCACGTAGAACAATTAGAAATCGATACTGTTTTGACATTCGACAGTTATGGTGTTAGTGGCCATCGAAATCATATATCAATTTACCTAGCATTATTCCATTTGGTTTATAATAAATTGCTTCCAGGTTGTAAGTGTAATATAATATAATAAGTAATAATTAGGGCTAGGATTTATATGCATTGAAAAAATAATGTAATATGCATCTGGTTTATTAAAAATATGCTTAAGTATTCTGAAAAAAAATTATTAAATAAACACTTAGAATACAAATAATAATGTTATAAAGTTCTATTTACTAAAAAATACTACTCTAAATAAATATGTTAATAAAATATGTATGCCAAAAAATATGGTAAACTGGATGCTTAAATTACAAAAAAATTTTAAAATAGTTTTATAATCTAAAATATTGTACTAAAATTATTAACTCTATTCAAATGTATTACACTCTGTTCCATCTAAGAGTGAACCGCTTTCGCTCGCGCAGACTGAGCCGCTGAACAGTGCCTGACCCCCCATGCCTATGCGTTCTGTGATTGGTGGACAGTCATCGTCGGTCGTCGGGTGCCCGTGTTAAAACCCTCACCGATGTTTGGGTTGTGGTGGGAATGAAAACGTGTTTTGGTCAGCCGAGTGGTTCAATCTTAGATGGAACAAAGTATACAATATGTCAATATGAAATAATTACATGATGTTTTAAATTTTCAAAAATGAACGATCTTCTGTTAGACCTTAAATATACCAAAACTCTGTTACACCTACCACAACATTCGTAATTTGTATGTATCTAAATATTGTTACTTCCCCTTGAGTGCAATGAAATTTCATGTAACAAAATATACCAAAAAATTTGCATTTTTTGCGTTTTTGAAAAATGCAATAATATTCATTTTATTCAAGATATGTAAAAATATGCCAAAGAAAATTTACCTCAACATAGACTGGTTTGTGGAAATTACTGACAATAGCAGTAATCAGAAGTTGCAAAAAAAAAAAAAAACATTCCAATGCATATAAATCCTTGTCCTGGAAATAACTAATAAAAAATAATCGATGATTAAATGTTTACAATTTAGATTGTCATTTATATTCACTGGATTCAGTCAACACTTTAAGGAAATATGTTAAATGTATTGATGGGTTATTCAATAACACCTCAGACTTTAAATGTACTATTTCAACCACAGAACAAAATTGTGTTACAGTAAATATTACATTTTTTTTATTTACAATTATTTTTTTTTCATTAATATTTGTTTTTTCAGAAAGCAATGCAAGCACATAATTCTCAGTATATTTGGTTCAGAAAACTGTATATGAAATTTTCTAGATATACTAGAGTAAACACCTTTACAACCATTTCTGCTGAATAAGTTTTGACTTATAACATTATAGAATACTATTAGTTTTTATTTATTTATACATTTAAGTAGTTCATGACTGTGATAACTTGGTTACTATAACAGTTTTATTATTTCTCATTGTTGACATTATTTGTTATTACTGTTAATATATTTTTTTTTTTTTGTACAGTTTTCATCTTCCAAAAATTGTTGTCCTTGTAACTAAAGATTGAATTGCCAAAATGTATTACTGAAATAAACTATAATTTTGTTTTTATCAAATTGATCATAATTATTTAGCTTTAAATTTAGATAAGCCATGTTTAAAATAATTTAATACAAATATCAAACTATATGTCATTGATTACATAATTATATTTAGATTTACTATTTAGTATATAAAAAAAAAAGCAAAAATTAGAATTGTTGTTGCCTGCAATTATTCTTGAAAATTTAAGTACAATGTATAAATGTAAAAAATTAACAATTTTTGTATGATAATAATTACATAATATACCTATATCACTATTAAATTTATATTCTATAATCTATATTCATAACCAGGAACTAGATCTATTTAATATAATATTCTGAGCTATGAATATTAACTTAAGGGATGTCAGTTCATTATTTTTTTTTCTCCGACCTGCCTCTATAAGGCAAATTTGTTTTCAGTAGAACCAATCGTGTTTTGTCAGTTAAAACTGGAGTGAATCGACCTATTATACAACATACGGTTAAGAAAATCAGTCTGTGTGACAGTGTACATTGGCTTTTTTATGATTATCAAATTTTTCAAAATATTCTTAAACTGTAATATTTTATATACTTATAGTTTTAACTTGCATACAAATTGGAATAATGTGACTAACTTAATTTTATAATAGAATTATTAGAATTCACTCTAATATCAAAGCTATAATAATACAATATTTGTTTTGCTAAAAGAAAATTTGTTATTTTTAGAGTAGGTCCGAGATAACACAAAATAGTGTGTTCAGTGTTCACATATTAATGATAAATTATTACATAACACAAATAATAATGGTCGATAAGTGTTGCCATAGCCTTATAATAAGTTGTATGTATTTTAAGTCTACGGTATTGTCAATATGCAGTTACCACAAGGCACATATTCACATATTACATATAACATCTATAAACATAAATATTTCATGTAGATCACGATTATAAAGAATAATTTATAATTAATATTAATTATTGAGTACTAGATTAATATTAATTATGAATAATATCATAGAAGTTTTTATGAAAATTAAAAATTAAAGATAAAAAAAAATTTACTAACAACAATAATGTAATTAGGTATACTTTTTTAACATACTAATCTGCATTAATCATTATTAATTAAGGTCATTGTATAGTTTTATAAGAGGGTAGTTCTTATGACTTATGAGGGCAGTATAGTAGAGGATACATAGTAGTTTGAATATATAAATAAATAAGTTATTATGATTGAGGACCTTCACAATGTTTTGGCTGTCTTCAGACAAAACTAACTTTTTTCACCCCCAATAATTAAGAATAACTTACACCTATAATTGTCAAATTGTACTTAGTAGGTGATAAATATAAAACCTAAAAATGTAGTAGCCTGAATTAATTACCTAATTTTTAGTTTTAGACTTTATCGTTACAATATAATATTTATAGTATACAGGGTGTCTGGGTGTAACTAACCTGTAACTAACCTAACCTGACAAATTAAATAACTTTTGTTTTAATCAAAATTTTTAAATGTCTTTCTTTCTATGTAATTAACTCGTGGGCTACACGTATAATATAACATTTTTATTTTTTAAATAGAAAATTTGTAAACCTAGATTTTGGAAAACTTTTGATTGTAAAAACATTTATCTAAGTCAAGTGGTTACTTTTATAGTTTTTCAAAATATTTTAATTTATATTTTCAATATTAAAAAAGAAGGCACATAAAAAAATATTGATTAAAATAAAATTTATTTTATTTATCAGGTATTCCTGTTACAGCCTATATTATTTTACAATATTTTACAGTTTTTTATTATATGAGCAATAAACTAATAGCTTATAGAGCTATTATCAGACCAATGCGGTCTTACGGCATCCAGATATGAGGCTCTGCACAATTGCTATGAACAATCTAGATCTGTCTTTTTCAAATCGTTTCTGCTTCTTCGTTCATTAGGAATAATAATCTTCATTATAAACTAAAAATCCCAAATCATACTACATTGTTTTTCATTCAAAGTAAACTAGTCAAAAAAGTCTGCTAATAAAGTAAATAACTTACTTTCTCTCACACAACACCCGAAAACCCCCAGACGTTTGAAGCAACCCTAGCCTAGAGACCTTCTAATGTAATTTTGTAATCTGTCAGGTGGCACTACTGAGTGCCCTACCAAACTCATTTATTCTCGTCACTATGTACCTAATTAAAATTACATACAGTAATTATTTGACTTTAGATTGTAATTATATGCTAATTAAAAAAAAAAAGTAGATAAAATTAATTCACTACCATTAGGTTAATGTATTTTACTATAAAATATATTAAATGCACATTATCTGATAATAAAAATCAGTTTAACAACAATATACTATTAAAGTCATTGGCATATTATATTTTTATGATTATGTTGTTTTGATATTATAATGAGGGAACAAATGTCCAAAATTGACACTATTGTAAATATAACAAGACAAATAAAAAAAATGATTAATAAATAAAAAGATTTTATTGGAATTAAAATTAGGATCCAATAACATGAGTAAAAAAGAAATAAAGTAAGGACCACAAAACAATTATTTCAGAATAACATATTAAAAAAAAAAACTATATTACTGAGTTGGGGAAAAGGGTGTTGGATGTAGTATTTTAGATTGCATTTCTTTAATCAGTGGAACTGTGTATGCAACACACTCATCCCATCCAGGGGACATCCAAGCAGCTTCTCTAGTTTGTGTACGTACTTCTAAATTTTTATAACCTAAAATATTTCAATAGTGTATTTCATTTCATCAATTATTCATAACAAAAAAAACTTACACCAAAAATGATGAACATTGTAGAGACGACCAACTTGAGAGAAGAAGCCAGCAAATGGCTCGTCGTTTGAACGCCGGTGATTGATTGCTCGCGCCCAATTATTACCCCACTCTATCATTGTACCTGGTTTCAAACTATAGCTACGAATCTCATATATGTTAGAACCAGATTTTAATTCAATAGAAGGCCAGAAGCTGAAAGCTAATAAGTACTGTAGATGCCTTGAACGTAAGAACTGGCCACATTGATTGCGTAATTTTGTGTATTCCTTAAATAATTAATACTACTATGAATACATTTCTATGAAATTAATCAAAATTAAATTTCAAAATGAAAAACTTACTTGATTTTGTGTTAAAATTGTATTGGTTTTATCGATTTCTGCATAACCACCTTGATGCTTCCATAAATGTACATATTGGTCTAAGTCACCTACACGTACAGACCAAGAGCCAATCAGTTCATATTTTAAGTTGGGTATTTTTTGACACAGCTGGACAACCTGTTCACTTGAATAATAATAAAAAAGGCAAATTATTGTTGGATTTCTATAGGCTGCAATACATATTAATACAGAAAACAATTCTATATCAGACACTTAAATTATGACTTACTAGTTTTTCATATAATTATCAGTCGAATCGGGACGTACATTGTGCGTTTGTAATTCATATATTACTTCTTTATCGGATAACATGCGAGAGTGTTGTTCTTTGGTTGGTTCTATTCGTCGAACCAGCAATTTCTTCAGCCATCCCTCATTAGTGTTATTTTCAGAATCTTTGTTGTCTTTAAGAGTGGCCGAGCTCAAAGACAAACACCTGGAGAAATAAAATTTGGACAATGCAACATTAATACACTACCGACGATTTATGAATAATAACTAGGCGCCATCATTGTGCCTAAATATAACTTACCTGAATTGTAATGGTACGGCGATTTGTTTTGTACAGGAGAGCGTACACTGTTTCAGTATGGAATTAAACATTTTGATTTTTGAGTACGGTCGTTTAAAAACGTAGTTAATCGCTATTTGAAAAATAATAGGTATACACCTCTATAGTCTATTGTCAATTCGTCATGTCCGCCGGCACGTACCACCATAGACCAGTATTCACTACAATTCACTATTCAGTAATCAGTAGGCACTTTAGGCAGACAGGCAGTGTGCATGACGTCGTTTAAATTATCACAGTGTCGTCTTCTGGCGATAACAAAGTTCATGGACTAAGAACCATCATTCGTTATCTTTCCATTGCCGATTTAGTATTAATTACTAATTATACTAACAATTATTATTAATTCAACAAGTGATGATGTACTCATGTCAATAGGCGCAAATAGCACTTGGGATTTGGGGGGACTAAAGCCTTACTTTGATAAAATTGAATAAGCTTAAAACGAAATGTAGGAAATATTTGGGGGAGCAATGGACATTTTTTGGTGGCTTAGTCCCTAAAGCCCCCCCTCCTATTTTCGCCTATGCTCATGACAATAATAATCTATATTATATAGGTATTTATATAGCATAGAGACATAGAGTAAAGACTTAAGAATAATATTATTTGGGACTGGAACAGTGGGACGATTGGTATTTGGGACATACAATAATAATCTCTGACATATTTTACTAGTTTACTACACATCTAACACACACACACAGCTAGAATAAGCATCGATGCGACGATGCATGTTACACACACACCACACCCAAGCTTTAAATATTGACATAACTCACTTAAACCTGCTTTTAACCTATCCTAATTTTAATCTGTAGTTGTTGACTGTTGTGAACATTATTCCTAAAATGTTAACAAATCGAAATAGTAAAGGCTAACGCCTAACAGTATAGGTACACAAATAAATACATTTATACACAAATTTAGTTTTTATAGATGTGATTTGTAAGTACATAGCAGATACCACTTAACCACTTAAACATTTTGGTTTTAAGAGTACACCGCAAATCGGATTTTTCGGGATATACCTATAGAACATTTTCTTAAAATGTTCACATTTTGATATTTGATATTGTAATGTTATTGGTAAGTCCTACCTAGGTTAAGTTTCTATTTTAGAATAGATCAATAGGTTGCCTAGGCATATGTATATCACATTTTTAAATTTAAATCCCAGTAGTCAAGTTTTGGACAAGTGCCTACGTATCTTATAATTCGTATTGTAATTTAATTACCAAAGAAATCCAAAGAAATATAATTTCCCCAATAGTGTCAAGGGACACCGGCTCGCGGCTTCGGCGGCGGGACAGTGAATTAGAATATCTATAAACTTGTGGACTAGTACAGTAGTACCTATATGGTTAAATTTGGCATGCAACCAACAACTGAAATAGAAAACCAGAATATATTGCAGGTCACAAAGATTTCTGTAAAGAACATAATATGATTTATCAGTAGACCGTATATAGGTACAACTAACGTACCGAGCACCTATATAATATTATATGGATTTCAGTGGCGTCATTTCAGTTTTTATTAGACTAGGGCAATTGTTCACTGCTTTTCAGACTCAACATTTTTTTCACTCTGCAGATTCTCATAGCATATTGCTATAGAAGTAAACAGGGGGGGGGGCGTGTGGTAAATGTGCCAACTTAAGGTTAATGTAAATACTAGACTGGGGCAAATGCCCCAGTTGCCCTCCTCCAAATGACGCCACTGATGGATTTATCATATTAATTTATATACATATTTTATAAAATCTATGGCAATCGCCAACTGTCGACATTCGTCGGAGACGATTAAAGATTCTAATAATTTCAGTGAACAAAAAAATTAAATAAGCCACCAACGTCAATAGGCGGACAAGCAGCTGTATATATTATAATATAAATTATAAGTTATGACACGAACTCGCACATTTCGATACGTTCAGGTTATTTTCATAAAATATTTCGATACTTTCAAGTTTCAGTTCGAAACGAGGTGAAGATGGAAGAAGGTGGCTGTTTCTGTACCGCACATCTGCACTCGAGATATGGCACCACAGCTAGGTTTTACCGGGAGAGTCGATGTTTACGCGTAAGTTTGTTTTCATATTATTTTGGGGCTTAAATTAACTTTTTAGACTTAAATTAAATATATTGTATTGTCACTGAAAATCCGTTATCTGGGTGACGTAGGAGCATATACTTTTACACGTATAAAATCACAATGTATAAAATACCTAGGTATTCGAGACACCGAACAATCCAAAGGTCATCTTCGCGGTTTTACCTCCTCAAATTTAATACGTACATTTTTTCCATATACAGGGTGTCCCATCGAGATCTGACAAAAAAAATAAAACTGCTACTTAAACGTATGACAAAAATTGTTAGTACTATGTGATTACCAAATAATTTAAGAAATATACTCATGTCAGCAAATTTCTAAAAATAATATTTTTAAAAAAGTTATTATATTCCAAAATAATTTAATAAAAAAATTATAGATATTTAAAAAAATTCTAAAAAATAAACTACTTGACTTATATAAATGTTTTTACCATAAAAATTGTTCTTATAATCAGGTTCACAAATTGGCTATTTTAAATTTATATAAAAAATGTTAAATCAAATTATACATTTTTTATTTTCAGTATTAAAAAATAAAAATAATTTTTTGTATATTATACGTGTAGCGCGAGTGGCAATAAATTATATAAGTAAAAAATAATGTTTAAATTTTGTATATAGCAAAAGTTATGTCATTTGTCAGATCTCGGTGGGACACCCCGTATACTATACTATACCTTATAGGATTGTTCAAAATATTATTAAAACATTAAACAATATATCATTAATCTTTATATTTTATATACATTATACACCTCATTTATTTTATTAGTATTTACGCCTACATTATCGTATAATAGGTAAATAGTGTGCAATTATATATTTTACTATAATTATTATTTTTAATTATAATATAATTTAATAATATACACTTTAATATAAATTGGTAGTTGTCAAGGCTCACAATCCTAAAACTTACTCTTTTCAAAACGGATTATGATTAAAAAAATCCAAAGGGCTAATAGGAAATACCTCAAGGTTGCCTCAGTAGGTCGAGGAACCGTAGTTAAAGTGTCGTCATCCAGTATGAACCAGAAAAAAAAAGATTAATTCAAAAATCGTAGGTACTAGGTACCTATATCATATTTTATTATTCTTTTGTAACAGTTGTTGATGGTTTGTTGTAGGAACATTTGGTATGCTATGGTTCAGAAAATGGTTCAATACATGTTCAAAAAAATTCTTTGAAAAATGAAATTGTCCGTAAAAAGCTCAAAACAAATTAAAATATTTAGAAAATTTTATCAACTATAGGAATTTATAAAATAAACAATCAGTGAAATTTCCACGTATCTACAGTTATTCGTTTTTGAATTACAACAAAATAAGAAAATCACTACATGAGGAATAGAGTTAATATCCAAGTTCTAAAAATTTGAATTTAGAACTCTCATAAAAATTTAATTTGACTTTCTCATAGACATTTTTTTTTTTGATAAAGGTAGATGATCTTATAAGGAATCTTTTATTACATTTTAAAATATTAGATAAGAAATTTTTTTACGAATTCTTAAATCAAAATAATTTGCTAATTTTCGTGATTTTTCCATATTTCGTCAATTTTTGAACTTTAAATGCTTATAAAAAAAACTGTGACTAAGGATTTTAAATTTTTTTCAAATGTCATTGTTACAATATAGTAGGAGCCTTGTATTAAATTTTCAAGCTTTTTTAATCAACAAATAAAGTTGTATTGACATTCATTGAAAAAAGGACTAATAAAATTGGAAACTGGAAAAGTTCCTAAGCAGTTCAAAACAAATCAAAATATTTTGAAAATTTTATCATGTATAGAAAATGGAAATATTAACAACCAGTGAAAATTTCATGGGTCTACGGTCATTTGTTTTAAAGTTACACCAAAAACCAAAATCAATTTTGCTTAAAAATTCCAACTTTTCCTTAACTTTTCTTTTGTTTTTCACGGCGCTTTGAAAATTACTGGGAATTTTAAATTTAGACCTCCCAATGCACCAACAATATTAATTTTCCCATCAAAAAAAGATACTGAAGTCGAAAATCGAAGCATTATTTCGACTACTTATCGTGTACACAGACACAAAAAAAATAAATAAGTTTTAGAAAAACTGTTTTAGATTCTGAGTGAAACGATGAATGTATTGATTTTACAATGATGTGTGTTTTTTATTTATTTTTTTTGTGTCTGTGTACACGATAAGTAGTCGAAATAATGCTTCGATTTTCGACTTCAGTATCTTGTTCGATTGGAAAGTGAATATCATTGGTGTATTGGGGAGGTCAAAATTTAAAATTCCCAGTACTTTTCAAAAGCGCCAAGAAAAACAAAAGAAAAATTAAGGAAAAACGGGAATTTTTACGCAAAATTGATTTTTCAGAAAATTGAATTTGGTTTTTGCTATAACTTTGAAACAAATGACTGTAGATACATGAAATTTTCAGTGGTTGTTTATATTTGCATTTTCTATACACGATAACATTTTCAAAATATTTTGATTTATTTTGAACTGTTTAGAGACATTTTCATTTTTCATTTTTTTTTTAGTTTTTTTTCTAGAAATATCAATTAAATTTTATTTGTTGGTTAAAAAAACTTGAAAATTTAATAGAAGGCTCCTAGTATATGGTTTGAAAGGCAGATGAAAAATATTAAAAATCGTTAGTCACAGTTTTTTTTTATAAGCATTTAAAGTTCAAAAATTGACAAAATATGGAAAAATCACGAAAATTAGCAAATTATTTTGAGTTAAGAATTCGTAAAAATTTTTCTTTTTAAATCTAAGATATGAAAATGTAATACAAGGTTCCTTATAAGATTGTCTACCTTTATCAATAAAAAAATTTCTACCGGAAAGTCAAATTAAATTTTTATGAGCGTTTGAAATTCAAATTTTTATAACATTGGATATTCACTCGATTTCTCATGTGGCGAT